TCCTGCATTTCTGACCCCATCGCCCTCGTTTCTTTGCATTGCAAATGGTGTTTCCCTAATCAGCCCCGCACACGCTGTGCCTCTGGAAGAAGGCAAGAGCCTCTGCTCCTTTCCCATGCAAACCACCCGAGGTACGAGCACAGCATCCTCAGCTGCACTCCAGGCTCTTGGGAGAAGGGATACTGACCTGCCTCGGAGGGGCTGCCAGGTCTCAGTGAGTGCTGTACGGGAGAGACTTTGCAATTTGGGTAGAAAATGCAATACCAGAGCAGTTTCTCATCAACGTGTCCCGGAACTGAGAGTCCTCCCCTTCCCAGCACTCACCTTCCCCCTTTGCTGGCAAACCCAGCCTCTCCCACCCCTGCTCTGGTTCCTGTATGGGACGGTGGCAGCAGGGCCATGGATGAAACCCACCCCATTTCCTGGCCACTGCTTCACTCAGCCAATTTCCCCTTGCAAACAGAAATAATTTAATAACATCTTCTTAACATAAACCCTCCATACCAAAGCCCAGCTTTTGGCACAGTTGCCATAAATTTAATTCCCTGGGCTGCTTTCCACTCTCCAAGCAGTCCCTGCTTTCACCCAAAACTGCTGGGCTGCGACCCCAAGTTGCCAAGTGGAAAAAGCAAAACTCGAGACCATCTCATTCCCCTTCCTTCCTCACCCCAAATCCTGCTGCCACCTATAACCCTGGATACCCCTTTCCTCCCTGGTGGTGCCTATCCTTTAACCCTCTGCCAAATTCACCCCCCTTTCCCAGACAGACACTATTGCTTTGTGGAGGAGCCCGGATTTACTCTCAAATCGTCATTTATTCACCCCTTACCTGAAGTTGTTCGTGTCCACGTTGGAGCTGGCCCCTGCTTTAGCTCGGCTGGTAGCTCTGTGTGGGGCAAACACAGTCTCCTGCCCACCCCTCCAGCAGCGACCTTCAGCACCACCTCCTGTTTGGGAGTTTGGCGGGCAAATATTGACCCACAGCATCCAGTTAAACATTTGTTTGGGGAATAAGAGTGAATCTGTGGTGCGTTTGGAGATGGGGAGATACTTTGGGCTGCTGGACCCTCGAGAAGATGTTAACATTGAGCTGACCAGCTCAGAAACTCCCATCAGCAGAAGTAATATTTGAAGTCGGTTGTCCTGGCTTTGCTTTCCATACACTCCCTGTGCTGGAAACATGCTTTTCTATTCATAACCTTTAGTGAAAATGTAGGACTCGGTATTTAGTGCCACAGGGCTCTCTCTGGCTGTGGAATTTTCCTTGCAGAAAACCCCAGACATTTACTCCCCGTTTCCCAGCTGCTTCTGCTGCGGTAAGCGCGAGAGGCCCAGGTTTTAGCAGATGGTTGGTGCCCAAGGCCCCGGACGCAGCGATGCTGGGGCTGGGCTGAGCCAAGAGCAGCTGGTGCCTCCCCCGGGGCACAGCACGCACCGGAGCTGTGCCGGGCTCCACGGCACCGCACGCACCGCTGCGGCGGGGAGGAAGAGTCCTGAGGACGGGCACGACTCCAGGGGTCTGAGCTGCGTGGTTTGTGCCATATGCAACGGTGTGATCCTTCCTGGCTCTGTCCATGTCCTCGGTGCGAGAGGAGTTACTAAGGAGCTGTGGGGAACACTTAACAGGATCGCAGCGCTTGCAGCCATCCATTCCTTGCTACAGCTTTGTTCCCAAACCCACCCCAGATAAATAGAAGGAGTGGAAAGGAGACCGATTTGCAACCAGAAGGCACTTTGGGACATGTCACTGCAAGATGGGGAGCTTGGAAAGCAGATCCCTGTGCAGCAGAGTCCTACCTTACATCCAGGGCATCTTCCCAGCATCCCTGCTCCAGCTCCCCCAGGAACACAAGAGGTGCCCAAATGCAGAGCTGCCCCACACCTGGACCCCGCAGCACAGAGCTCCCCACGCACCCGACGGCATCTCTTTCAAAGAGTTTATTAGAAGTAAATATTTACATCTATTGCAAATGGTTAATAGGCAACACGGGACTGAGAGAGAGCTCCCCTTGGGTAGGGAAGGATAGCAAGGGCCAACCGCTCACCTCCCCAAACCTCGCTGGAGGCGCAGGGCAGCCTGCCCAGCTGCAGGGGGCTCGGATGAACCCGCAGCTGGATGCAAGCCCTCTGGCCTCCCAGGACAGCCCACAGCAGGCTCCTCCTCTGCCCAAGGGAATTGCTTCCCACTCCTCTGATACTGGCTCTGATTAGGCTGAAGGATGGATGGGAAAAGGGCTGCAATGGACATGAGGCAACAGCTCCTACTGCTGGGTCAGAGAGCAAAATCCTCGCCTTTGGGGTGGGAACGGAGCCGTCCCAAAGGGAAGGGCAGGAGACCATGCTGGATCGTGCCCCCGGCTCTCACCCTACAAGAGCAGGAGGGGACAAAACTGAGCACCCTTTTGCTGCCCTGCCTTCCCCAGAAGCCTGACCAGCACAGAGGAGAGAGGATGAGGAAGAAAGTTTCTTGAGAAATGCTGCCAGTGCGTGGCACACGGGGCATTCCTCACCCCTTGGATAACCATGGGGTACAGTGCTGCTGGGGCAGGAACCCACAACCAGCCCTACCCGGCTGCTCCAGAAGCCGAAATCCTCATGGACACATCGAGTCCTGGCCTCCCAAGGGGTTATGTTCCCATCCCAAACCGTCCCTCTGCAGCAGCCCATTCCTAAACGAACTGGCGGAGCAGATGGGGTTTGTGCCTTGGCTGACTTCCAGTCTTTGCCCTGGAGCCAGGAAGGCAGCAGCAGTGCTCCAGTTAACCTCTCCTCCTCCCGTACAGGCTCTAACTCAGCCTGCAGATCCTAAAGTTAACAGAGTGCTTCCTCAGGGCCTCAGAGACCACAGGAGGAGGAGATGCCCGGCACCACGCAGCTCTGAGGGCAGCAGTTCCCAGGCCCAGCTTATGCTATCCTAAGTAAGACTGTGCAGTGGTTCGGGAGTGAAAGTGAAGGGTAAGTGCAGACAGCAGTAGCTATACTGTTGTGTTCTTGTCAAGGGGCACCTCCTACCCCTCAACTGAAGGGGCAAGGATACCTGTGGTCCATGTTACTCTGGAGGGCAGCTCACAGTCCCCTGGGGATCAGGCACACACGGTATGGAAAGCTCCAGGCCTCTCTGCAGGGGTGACAGTGACCTACAACACCCAGTATTTCTCCCAGCAGCAGTGGAGGTTTCTCAGTATGGCTTTTTTTTTTTTCTTTCTAAAGATACAGAAAGAGGTTAGAGATGCCTCACCGAGTGCTCACTAACAAGTACACCTCCCCCCTGCATCCTCTGCTCAGAAACCTTTAACTCTGCCTCCTCCACAAGCGATGCCGCCGGCTTTCGGCTCTACCATTGACGCTGTGGGACAGCCACAAGCCCTTGAGCCGGGGGTCGCTATGCCAGGAGGCGAATGACGCCGTTGTCCGAGCCCAGCAGGAGATGGCATTTCGTGGGCAGCACCGCCAGGCTGGTCAGCGTACCCCGAAAGTTCTCCGAGCTCAGCTTGGTCGTGCTGATGGGCAGGGCCGAGGACTCCAGCATGGAGTAGACGCCAATTTTGTTGGCCACCGTGCCAGTGACCACTTCATTGCCGTAGAGGTCAAATGCGTGGATGGGTTCGGATGCAGATTTGTAGTGGTGCAAAGGTTTCTGCTCCAGTTCCTTCCACACAGTCAGGGAATGATCCGAAGAGGAGCTGATGAGCACATTGCCCTCTGCAGCCTGCAGGAGAGGAAAGGCCAGTGAACCAACACTGCTGCAGGAAAAGCTCCCAATCTCATCCTGCAAATGAGATTAGCAGGTAGCTGCCAATAATCCAACAGCCCCAGCCATTTCCAAGTAACCCAGGGTGCTGGGCAGTGTTAAGAAGGCAACTGGGTGGATACTGGGAGCTACAGGACTCTCTGGTAGCTGGGCACCCTCCTCTAGCGCTATCCTGCAAGAGATGGGCTGTGTCTCTTCTCAACAACATCCTGATACTGAGCACAACGGATTTATCATGTTACTACTGCGGTGGGTAAAGAGATTATCATGCGGTCTCCCTCTCTATCAAACCACCTGCCAAATTATTTTCCTTCTCAGGAAAAAGGAATTGGGAGGCTCTCACGGTAGAAAACACCACTGAGGGTAGGAGAAGCCCGGAGCTGTTTATTAGCAGAGCTAGTGAGAGGGTAAACAACCCTCACCACTGAACTTTGTTTAACCCGCATTTGGGTCGAGGACACTGGAGCCCCAATGCTGCTCCCTGAGGGCGGGTAAATATGGACAAGAGTTACTCATTAGAGTGACATCTCCTAGGGGAATGAGAGCCCTGTGGAGAAAGCAACACATTCACTTCTTCATGGGAGATGTGTCTCCTCCCTGCTCCTGCTGCAGATCTGCTCAGCAGGGACTGACACCTGGGAGGGCTGATCTCCGCTCAGCACAGGTTAGACCAAGAACAGCCACCCACAGCACTGACCATGCGGCAGGAGAGCTTGAGCAGCCTCTTAGGGACACAGCAAGGGATGGAGGAACACCCAGAGGATGGAGCAGAGCAGCCCTGCCACGGAGCATGTGCCAGAAGGATGCTCCACACAACCTCAGGGGGTCAATGAGGCCCCCAAAGCAGCCCCTCACCCTGATCCCAGTTGATCCTCTCACCTTGATCTGCAGAATGTCCCCCTCATGGGCTGGCCACCCCCGCATGATGAGTCCTGTCCTGGTGTCCAGCAGCACAATGAAGCCGGAGGAGAAGCCAGCCATAACGCTGCGCCCGTTAGGACTGACAGCCAAGCAGCGGATGAGCCCAGCACTCACCCCGCTGGCCAGCCGAAACTCGTGCTGCAAGAGAGAGAGGCCAGCTGCTGCAGGGCTGAAGATCCCCCAGGGTTTAGGGGACAAGAGACCCTGGGGTCCAGCTGGCTTTGGGCCAGCCGTGATCACACCACTGAGCACACGGATGGAGGAGGGCGGCTCACGCTGTGCCAGGCTCCTTACCTGTAGTCCTGGCTTCCTGTGATCGATGAACCGCAGCACGGAGTCTGCGCTGGCCACGGAGATGCTGTGATAGGGAGGTGGCATGGTGGTCACAGCCGTGACGGGGACTTTGCTGTCTAATTCGTCAAAAGTCCGGAGGAGTTTGCCTGTGAAAACACAACAGAGAGGTTACAGCAGGAGATGGCACACAGCAAATCTCCAGTTCTGCACTGGTTTTTAACAGGAGCCATCAAAACTCCCTCTGTCTTTAAGGACTGCACCAGTTTGCTCCCTTCTCACCTGTGAACTGGTCCCAGATGTGTACGGTCCCATCACAGCTCACCACGTGCTGCGATGCCTCCAGCTGGCTCACGTAGAAAACCGACTTCTTGTGCTCGGCGTAGGTGAAGCGCGGCGGCACCTCACTGGTGCCGTCCCCGTAGTTGTACAGGGGCCAGAGACGGACAGTTTTGTCCTTGCTGCCACTGAGGAAGAAGTCCTCGCTGCTGAGCGGTGCCACGCACTTGATGGCCCCCGAATGCCCTGAGAAACTCTGCAGCTTGATCTGGTGGAAGTGGAAGCGGGGGTCGTGCTGGCTCACCCCGATCTCGTACTGCCAGTAGGCCAGCCAGTTCCCGCACAGCATGTGGGTGCTGCGAGGAAGGTCGTGCTTCAGGGCATTCTCCTCGCTGGATGAGCTGGGAATAAAGCCATCAGTGCCAGCACTGAGGCGAAGCAAGCCAAGACCCTCGCGCTGCGTGTCCACAGGGACCTGGATGCGGTTCCCGACCAGCACGCTCCCAAAAGTGCCGGAGTGGCTGTCCTCATGGTGGCTGGAGAAGGGCTCGGTCCCTCGCGTGTCTTGGTCCGAGCCTGTCGCGCTCGGTGCTTGTTCCAGGCTTATGGCCTGCAGGCTCTTTGGGCTCATGTTCTCCAGGTAGACGCTGGCCAGCTTCTCCACCAGCGAGTGGTTGGGCACAACCGTCCGGATAACGTCACCTGAAGAGAGGAAAGGTGGCTCTGAGGGAAGAAATTTCCCCGTCATCACCCTCCACCATCAACAGAGCAGCACAGGGCTGTGAACACAACGGCCCCCACCAGCCACTCACGCTGCTCCCAACCAAAGCAGACCAAGCCACAGCGTAGCAGCTGTGGTGCCCCTCAGCAGCCCTCTTAACTTCTCCTGAGCTCAGCACCATGCACAGAGCATGGAGCTCTCCCACAAGTCCCAGATGGTGGCCAAGCCGTACCAAGCAAGCAGGAGAAGGGGATGTAGGTGATGTAGGCCATCTCGGGGTTAAACACCTTCTGTAACTCCATCAGCACGGCCGGATCCAGCGCCAGCAGCTTCCCATCTGAGAGGGGCACCTCCATCACCGGCATCTCACAGCTGCTCAGTGACTCTGCTGTCAAGCCCTGGACAAGAGAAAACAGGAAGATACCCACGATCGGGTGCTTTCACCACACCATTAATTACACAACCTGGGCAGGACGCTGCTGACACCGCTACTGGTGCACGCAGGTACGCCCACCATGTTCCTGCGGCTGGGTACTGGGGATGGCAGGGACCTCTCCCACCTCACTGACCTGGTCCTGCAGCTCCTGCAGCAGCGAGAACGCCCCAAAGAAGTTTCTCACCGTGTCGCTCAAATGCTGCTGCACCATCTCCTGCCCAATCCGCAGGCAGATCAAGGCAATTAGGCTGATTGTCTTAACGCACAGGACGATACGGGCCTGGGCACCACTGGGGAACCTGAAGAGAGCATCCATTACCGGCTTGCCCTCCAGATATCCCATTTCCCCTCCTCTGCTTCATGCTTCCTGCCCTGTCTGTGTTACCAGAAGGCCTTGAGCAGCACAAGCTCTGTGTGCACGCTGTGTACCACAGCAGGAGCAGCCCCACAACCCCAGGAGCGTTAAGGCCCTCACAGAACCATTTCCAAATCTCCGATTTGGGGTTGTGCCGATCCTGGCTGACGGCACGGCAGACTGCAGCGCTTACCCGATGGCTAGAGAAGTGAGGAAGCCCAGCACCGGGAGCAGCACCTCCTGGCTGATTTTGGGGAGGATGTCCATGAGCGTGGTGTCCGAGAGACACACCACGATCTTCTGGGTCAGCGTCACTGCAGCCAGCAGCCCGGCTTCCTTCCGACTGTTCAAGCGGCCACCGCCGGCCCCACTGCTGGGCGCAACCTGCAAAAGGAGCCCTCCAGTGCCAGGGTCACCACTGCCCCAGCAGGACACATCCAGGACGGGCCCAGGACCACCCAAGCTCAGCCTCAAAACCCAGTGCAGGTCACAGCCCTGGGAGAGGAACCTGAGCACTGAGTCCCAACAGCAACTCATGTCTTGCACTCAAGGGATGAGCCTGAAAACCGACAGAGAGCTGTTGGCACAGGAGATGAGCCTGGAGAGAACGGGGCACCACATCCCCAAGCTTGCAGGCATCCTCCAAAGGGCATCTCCCTGCTCCCACAGCTGGGAAACTCAGAGGGGAGAGATGCAACCCCAGACCATCACCAGCCTGGACACCCCAGAGCATCCTTTGCCAGAACAGGAAGAGGGGAAACCTATTGCATACACGTGAAAGCAAGAATCAGCTTCTCCATCTTGTGCCATGATGCACAGACTGCAGAGAAACAGTCCCAGCATGAAACATCCAAGCACAAACTGTGGGCAAGCCCGCTGCTGACTTTAGAAATCATTTCACGAGGCAGACGAGCGCATCCTTTTTTGCTGACAACAGCAATGCCAAAGAGTTAACACCGCCAGCAGCAACCCAGAAAGATTTCTTCCTCGATTATCCTATTTCCTAACTCCTAGACAAATCAAAACACCCAAGGAAAAGAGAGCCAATAGCAAAAAGCACAAACAATTCCCAGTTTCTGCTATATTTCTTGTACACCTGCCATCTTCCAGCTCATCGCAGAGGCTCTTCCTCTCACAAAATATCCACCGCCAAATCCTGCGAGCGGGATTGACTTTATCCTATTTGTGACCCGCAAATTTCATCGCTTTAATATCAGGTTGCCAAATGCTGTTCACGGGGGCATTAATCCTCCCCGGGCGCCTCAGGCAATAAGTTTAGGAAAGCAAAGCAGAACAGCTGGAGCTGTGATTGCAACTGGGTGGAGAATGATTTTGCTGAAAAATGGGATTTTTATTTTTTTTCCCCTGGAAAACAACAAAAAAAAAATCTCCCCTTCCAACACTGGAAAAACTGACAATGCCTTTTTGTTTTCTTTAAATGAGCAGCTGTGGCCTCTTTTCCTCTACGTTTAAATTATCAAAAAGCTACTTGCAGTTTTCCATTTAAAACAAGAACCCAGAACCAAAGTGTTTATAACCACTTAAAAGGGAGCAATGTGGAAAAATAAGCCTGTTGGAAACATTCGAAAACTTCTGTTCTAAAGGAAAAATCAGGTTTGTTTTTTCAACCAGCTGCATTACCCTGCATTTTCTTCTCGCTATTCAGCCATGAGTGTCC